TCTTGGCAATGTTGATAACGGGTACTTGCCACTGTCACTTGTTACCAACTTTAAGAGAGGAAAAATTTGCCTTTTTCTTTAACATTGACCAGCTTCTGTTTGTGCATTATTGGACCTTTAGCTTAGTTAAGATTCTTTGTCTTGTTGCGAAAATCGAGGCTGAAGCACTTGGAAGACTTCTTATTCTGGCGTTCGGCTTCTTGCTTCCGAAAGAAATTGTGAGGTGTAGCATCACACTTTCATTTCCCTTTATTCTGGCGATATCAGTGACATATGTGTAACGTTTTTTCAAGATTGTCTCCCTTTAAACCAGAAATATTGGAGTTCGTTGAACAAGTACTTTTACCACGTTCAGCAATCATGAGCGCCCAATAGAGTTGTTACGTTCGGATCGAAGGCGTGAAATAACGAAAGCAATACGGGAGGATTCGATTCGTATGCGTAGCAAAGGATTTCGTTCACTGATTGATGTACGAAGCGAACTGAAATCTGAACTTGTCAAAGATCAAGCGAGAATGCTCGGCATCGCACAAGTAGGGCATTTTTAACTTTGGGCCTTCTAAAATGAGAGATTTCGCTTTTGCTTTACTGAACAGCAATGGCCTTGCCAGCGGATGGTTGCTTTTGATGTCATTCGGACTATTTCTGAATGCCCCTGTCTCTTAGGGAGAGTGAAGGCGGAGGGGCGAGTTTTGAGTTTCTAAACGACGATTCCACTTCTCAAGAATGATGTAACAAGTGGGAAGTACCAGTGAGAAACAAAAGGCCACTGTGGTGGCGCGCAAAGAAGTTCTCTCGTCAAAATTTTCACGTGTCCGTACATGAGACGTAGACTGCGTAATAACTGATATCAAGTTTTTGGGGTTACACTTGGCCACGGGACACGCTGGCAAAATTTCAACATTAAAGTTTGATTGCTGAATATAAAATACCTACACAGTCGAACACACATATAAACACGCAAACAAGCATACACACACACACGCAAACAGACATACACACACATGCACACAAACAGGGGCGTCACACTATGCATTTTTGCTACTTGCTGCAACGCTGTAGCGTCGCGCGGTAAAAATGCATAATTATATATCTTCATGGAAACATTATTCCGATGAGGCTGTACTCTTCGAAAGGAATCATCAAATGTATCGTCCGGCGGTCTTGACATATTATTAGTATTCGCTCATCTTTTGATTCTTTTCATCGGCTAAATTTCTGTGTTTGCCAATTTTTAACCAAAAAATTCTATTTCTTGATATCAGGCGGTGCAGCGCTAGTCAAAGGAACTAGATGTCACCAGCCGCATAGCTGGAGATCCAGATTATGAGTTACAGCCGGACAGGCAACAAAATTTTCTGTTTGAGTTTCTTTATTGCATATTGCTTTGATGATGCTTTAGTGGAAACGATTTGATGTGTTGAATCGATATTTGCGCGGTTTTCGACCGGGCGAAATGACCGTAATCACGGGTGGAACGGGTTTCGGCAAAACAACGTTTGTTTGTGAATATGCACTCGATCTTCTCATCCAGGGTGTTAGTTTTGCTTTGTTTTGACTCAGATTTCAATACTCCCTCGTCTGGACATTCAGGAAGTCAAAATTCCTTCTGCATTTAGTCTCTGTAAAAAACGGGGTACTCGAAAATAGTTCGGTGGTGGGCAAATATCAGCAGCAACCACACGTTGGACAGGTTGTCAAAAATTTCTTCTTTCTGCGGTTGCTTAGGAACTAGCTGGTGGCAGGCTTGACTCATTGGTAAGTTTACCAGTACCAATATGCTGCCGAAAAGATAGTTAAATTGTAGGAGGATTGGTTGTCTGACTATATTGCTGTCGAAAAAAAAAATTACAACCGCTTCTTAATCGGCTTTCGTGGGATCGCAGCTGATCTTAATCTCAAAACACAAATAGGGATGAAGTTTTAACGAAAAAAAAAACAGAAATTGAAGTTGGTTAAATTCTTTATCAGACGTTGCTTCAACTATCATTTTGTTTCAGCGCAACTTTTTTGATTTTTTTTAAGGTCCGTACGCTGTTCTGCAGTTTCGAAATGCCAGATGAAAAAATCTTAAAGTGGATGCTTGTTCAATTTGCCGCGTAAGTTTCCTATTTGAACTCCGCAACATATCGTACTTGAGGT